TTTATACCAACACTGTGACTGAGACAAGTTTCGCAGTGCGGGAAAGAGGCGCGGACGGGAGTGGTAAATAATAAAATAATGGGGCGAGCCACGTGCGGACTCACCGCTCTCACCTCCTGCTGCAGTGCGGCCCGGTTCCTAACAGGACACGGAGCGGTACTGGTCCACGGACCGGGGATTGGGGACCCCTGCTTTATAAGATTTAGAAATCAGACATAGTTGCGTACAGGTTTAGTTCAAAAGTTAAATTATTATAAAAATATGTGAAAATCGAATGCCTTACAAAAATAGAACAAAAGTATTCAACGCATCAACCGTGCCACGCTTTAGCAAGAGTGGTTTTGAATCTCATTTTGCGATGGTCTGTTGGAAATTGAAGTGTGAATACAAACCAGGGAAATGCATGTCGCTGGCAAGGACGGTGCAGGATGCATTAAGGGAGACAAAGTATGATTATGGATTTGGAAAAGTGCACTTTTTCCTCTCTTTGAAAATAAAAGTTTTGAAGATAAATCGCGTCACAAATTGCATCGTTTTTCTGCAACGAAATCGACCGCCGTGCCCCCGAGAAAAGCCTCGCATCGAAAATATATGCGCGCAACGCCCTTGCATTTTGCCAATGTTTGTCTATCAACTGCAGTCCATAAACTACTGTTTGCACACCAAATAGTATTTGATGACATCAAGCACGGTGTCATTATTTTGTCGCTATTTGAAGATAATATTGCTAGATTGCATTCTGGCTTAACTGGCTTTTTAAATCAGTGGACCAAGAATATAGTCCTTTCTGATTATTCTTCCGTTTGCGATTGTAACAATGAATGGCTGTTTGGTAGCATCTGATATCATCCGTTACCAAACAGCCACTCATTGTTATTGCCTTGCCCAAATCTGAAAGTTAACATTTTCCAGAATGATGTTGATATATACATTACACCAGAAATTCAGATATGTGTGTGTGTGTGTGACTGTGCAATCATATTACCAAACCTATTTAGCTCCACAGCGACAAAGACAAAGAATTCTGCTTTCATGAGTAAAGACAAAACATGCACCAAGGAAAAACTACACATTTTATTGCTGGAGGAAAAGCACGAGCCAGGCAAATGATGTATTAGTTCAAGAATGAAAGTGAATTCTTACACCCACTACTTATATGCTAATCGCATGCTAATAAATGCTAATTTGACTCGTGGAGCAGACACGACTATAAAACAAAAGCCAATGCCAGACAGAGTGCGCAGGTTTGCACGGTTGTTCTGCATGGCGTCGCTATCTATTGTTTTGCCGGTGGTGTGTTTGGAACGGAGTCCGACGTTTCGCTCCACGTGCTGAAATATGGACGGAGCTGCTCAATTCGGCCGCCGCGGCTGCTCAGCGACTGAAGAAGAAGCAAAACGTTGAACTTGACGCCGAGCACGCGGTACAACCGTAAAGCACGTCGGAGAGCTGATGCAGAAGGCAGTAAAAAAGAAAATAGACTTCTAATAATTGCTTCGTGCATCAAATACACATCCCAAATAACTTTCAATGCAAGGTCCGACCATGTCCGTCCAATGCTCGGCGAGCTGCATTGGCTTCTGGTTGGCAAACGCATAGGTTTTAAGGTCGCACTCATTACAGACAAAGTGCTTGCCACAAATGAACCAAAATACCTTGCTGATCTCGTCAAGAATTATAAACCATTATGTGAACTCCGGTAATCCGACCAGCGGTTTTGGCTAGCCATCGCCTGCTTTCAGATGCACTTCTGCGGCCGTCTGGAACGCTCTTCCTTCTGATATTAGGAAGCCACTGGAGCTATGCACTTTTAAATCATATCTAGATTAAAAAGATAAATTCTTTCGAACTGCTTTTTGCGTTTAGTTTGTTCCCCATCCCCCGCACCTCCTATTTGCGTGGTTTTCTACGTACGGTGCGAAATGAGTTCAACATGCTCGTACATATTATAGTCTGCTCGTCTTACCGAGCCAGAAGATAGCCACTTCATCAGTAGTAGCAGGGAAGAGAGTCCACCATTGAATGCGGTCGGAGGGCACTTGCGGAAAGCGTGTGGCACGGTCCGTCGCTGTACCACTTCCACAGATATAGTTGTGATCACGTTGACCCCCAGGTGAAAGAGGTGGGCTGCACACGGTCCCTGATTAAAAATAAAAATGCATTCATTTACTGCGACGGGGAGAGTGGTTTTGCGATGTGCTGCATACTCACACAAACACTCCCCTTCCTGAAATCCTCTACACTCGCGTCTGTGTGAAGGAAAACATATACAGCAGATGAAACATTCACTGGTGTCAAGTCAACAAATGAACGTATACTGTCAGCCAACTAAAAAAAGAATGGCATTGTGCTTGTGTGTTTTTAGATGCATTCCGAACTTTAGGACTATCAATAAAATGTATTGAATGGAGCGATTGTATTTAGCGTTTCTTCCGCAGACATTAGTGCAATGCAACAGCACATTGAAGAAATGTATTCTTGGTTCTTTCGGTAAAGTCACGTAGAAGGGAAATAATAAAAACAAAACATAATATCATAAAATTCTCACGACGTTTCGGCCACAACGCAAGCAGCCGTCCTCAGGTGAAGAAACAGAGCTGTCGGAAAGACAGCGTCGAAAGCTTTAAATCGAAATTGAAGATATGCTTCACACGTTTGTGCATTCACGTAATTACACATCTGTTTCGCTTGAAGCTTTCGTGACTGCAGGAATTTATATTCTTTGTATTTATTTTCTTGGTTCTTTCGGTAAAGTCACGTAGAAGGGAAACAATAAAATAATAAAAATATAAAACAATAAAATTCTCACGACGTTTCGACTGCAACACAAGCAATCATCATCAGGTGTGATGTGATGAAAACCACACCTGATGATGTTTCGACTGCAACACAAGCAATCATCATCAGGTGTGATGTGATGAAAACCACACCTGATGATGGTTGCTTGTGTTGCAGTCGAAACGTCGTGAGAATTTTATTGTTTTATATTTGTATTATTTTATTGTTTCCCTTCTACGTGACTTTACCGAAAGAACCAAGAATATGAATCCCTGTAGTCACGAATCAAAACATATTTATTTGTTATGTGATTTAGTCTGCTTACTGTATTAATCCTTAAGCATGAGGCATTGCTGTTCATTTGCAAATTATAATTCTTTCATTTTATTTCTACCTACGTGACTTTACCGAAAGAACCAAAGAGAATGATCATTATATGCTTTGTAATTGGATGTTATACTTGGCGATTGTATATTGAGAGCGAGTGGATATTTTCTGATTTTAGAAAACGGCTATCACGCTGGCGAATGGCATCATTGTTTAAAATATTCATTCCTATGTATTACTAGATACCAATTCATTTTAATGGATTTTAAAGGAAAAACAAAACCGAAAAACACCCTACATTGAAGTTTTGACGCTGCAATGGTTTCATCTGGTAATGCGTTTACACGCCTGCTATTTATGAAAAAATTACCATGAGATATCTGGAAATGTGAAGAGATTTCTAAGATATTGGCCTCCAACTGGGTTTTTGTATGTTTAGCTTGCAAGAGAAAGCGACGGTCTTCTTGAATGTTCACAACACACAGTGTCTAACGCCTGCTGACACTGTAAAGGCCATTATCAAACATCATCACCATCTCATTGAAACCCTTATGCACTAGCCAAGATCAATATTTAATTAAATACTGCTAATTTTTTTCTTATTCACCGGGAATTTCCTTTTGCGGTGAGCATCAAAATAACCTTTATTACAGCTTCCTAATTTCTTTGATCTTGTTTAATTATTTAAATTAATGAATTATTTTAATGACATCAAATTTTTGGGTTAAAAATGATACAATTAAATATGATACCAATAGCAGATCTGATCATATTAGTAACATTGAATTTTATATGTTGTCCTAAAGAATATATTGGTCAAATCAGTGCATATTACCTGACGACGAATGTATCAGATACGTGGACACTCACAAATATGGAACAAAGTTATTTCGGTAAAGTCACGTAGATATAATTTTTTTAAGTAATACAATTAATTCACATACAAAATTTAAATAATACAAATAAATGTAAATTAATAAAAGCAAAAATGTTCAATTCATTTTTATTTACGTATTTTTTTATTTAACATTTTATTATTTTTATTTTTGCTTTCTATCAACGTGACTTTACCGAAAGAACCAATAATATGAATTCCTGCAGTCACGAAAGTTTGAAGTCAAAAGTTGAAAAGTACGCAACGAAGTGTGGAGAGACACGTGTTGATAATTACACTGAGCGTAAGGAACATATGCAAATCGCAAACATCATGTCGATTAAATCTCGACTTAAATCTTGACTTAAAGCTTTCGTGACTGCAGGAATTCATATTCTTTGGGTCTTTATTTTTCACCTGATGACGATTGCCTGTGTTGTGATCGAAACGTCGTGATTTTTATTTCATTATTTTTTTCTATCTACGTGGCTTTACCGAAAGACACAAGGAATATCATGTCGATTGCTAATAAAAGCAGACTTTGGACAACTCGCTGGAAGGCATGATGCCCAATGGACAGGTATGCTGATGAAATGGCAGCCCATGGAGGATAGACGCCTGAGAGGATGGTCCACCGGGGAGATGAAGTGATGGGTTCAGTCAAGGCCGTAGCCATGTAAATTTGAAAACTCATTTCCTGCCGAAAATTTGAAAAAATTCACTCACACATGGGACGGACTTTTTATTTATTTTTGACAATAATGTCTAATAGTGTATTGTATTACATTGCTCTGTTTTTACTTTTTTACCATTTCTTGTTTCATTGTATGTAATGGCTTAAATTAGGGATTAATAAAGAACAACCATAACCACAATCATATAAACAGAAATCTATGCATTGATTTATATGGAGACAAGTCCAGGTATTATGACCAAGGTTGAGCAAATTGTTTTTATTTACATAGCATAGCAATTTTTTTATAGCAATATAATGGGGGGAGGGGGCATTTTGAGCATATTTTAATATTACGGGGGATGTTGCACCCCCCCCCACAAATATATTATAATTACGGCCTTGGGTTCATTTAATGTGCAAGAGCAAGAGAGATCATGGCATCGTGTCATTATGTGGGATGGCAACAAGGTAGGCAGGCCTTCATCCAGCAGGGGATATAATATAGCTCATGAATTATCATGTTGCTTTTTCTTTGCTTTTATGTGCCACAAAATGTAAGCACTCCTCCCTTGCGGTTTCAATTAGCCTACGCGTCTGAGATGAAGGCACTACCCTTCCCTCATTTCCAATTCCACAAACGCAATCTTTCTTAACTGTTTCTTCCTAGGTGGCTTATCTGTGCAGCTCATTGCTACGATAACGCAATTATACTCTAAGAATTCGAGTGAAGCTAAAGAAGTGGTAATTTCAAATTGCTATCTGTTGTCTTGTTCGTGAATATGCGATATATTACTACAACAGCAACTGAATCAACGTCAAAATGCTATTTTCACATATAGGCTCTTTTTATCATAACCCCATAATGGAATATATTTGATAATGGCAATTCCATGAAAAAATCTTACATATTAATAGATTTGTGTTGATCTATATGACGTTTCCTGATTAGAATATGTCTACTTAAATATGCGTTTTTAAACACATGACTGGATTTTTTTTAAATAAAAATGCAAAAAATAAGATAACAGAGTGAATGTATTCCGCGAAAAAAATTATTCTGCAGAATTTCTGAGGGGCAGGCATGAAAAGCGAAGTCGCTTTAAACACGAAAGAGAACTCATTTTTATGCAAAAATATGAACGACGTGCCTTACAACTATGTATGCAAGCCTGTATAAAAACGGCACCTTTTAGCTCTGCCTATAAGTACATGTAATGCAGTGGCATTAAAACATATCGCTTCTCGCCAGTGTTAGTATCTTTGAAATAATGTCTCCCCCACCCCCCTTCTCTCTCTCTCTCTTTATCTTTCATTATTCACTCGCCTACCAAACCACTCAGTTGTGAGCTCATTCTCCTGGGGACCGCGACGAGTGGCGTCTCAGCAAAAGTTGCGAGCGACGCTTTTCCCCCGTGTCGCGTGTTACAGCCGCTGCTGACGCTGGACACCTTCTCGTCCGCATACATTATTACAAAGGCAGCGCTTTGGCTCAGCCAGAGAGCGGATTGGACGCGTACGAGCTCCCCTTCCGACACGGCGAGCTGCTGCCACACGCGAACCCGCTTCGAGCCCGCCACTTATCTTGCCTCGTTTTTGCCTTGCCTCGGCATCAATAAGTCCAAGTCTCGCTTTCTGTGTTGATGGGCGCCGTTTTGTGGGTCACACAATTGCGATTTTTAGAGTGAAGAAATAAGTCATTACCGCACTTTTGGATTATTGTTATTATTATTTTAGCTGACGATCTTGTTGAGTCGCGTTGCGTTGGAGGAAAACATTTTTTTTTGGATCGGGGAGGAAAACAAAACGTTGCTACGTAAAATCCCCGTTGCTTTTGGAGTGAGAGCTGATATGCGATTTCGTTGTTAAAAAGTGCAACGGCAACAGCCCATCAGCGAGCGACACCGCCGCAGAGGAGACGAAAAAGCGCCACTCCACCCCTCTGCTACGTTGCGGGGCACAACTATACGCGGGGCAAAGCTTGCGGTGTGTTCTATGTGTTTAACGATTAATATCACAATCAGCGTTGAAGAGAGAGGCGTCCAGGCAGCGATTATGAACCATTCAGTGCACGCAGCAGCAGCAGCAGCCGAGCTGCGTCCGACAGCGACAGTCGCCGCGCACAGCAGCAGCGGCGTCGGCGGCGGCATCGGCGTCAACGACAGCGCGCACGCCAACTCGAGCGGCCAACAGAGCCTCGAGATCAGCACGAGCCTGGGCTCCAAGGCGTTCATCACGGCGCTCTACATGGCTCTGTTCGTCGTGGGCACGGTGGGCAACGCGGTGACCCTCTACGTGGTGCTACGCAAGAGGAGCGCGCGGCACCTGCAGCACGGCACGGCGCACTACCACCTTGTCAGCATGGCAGCGTCCGATCTGCTCACGCTCATGCTCGGCTTGCCCGTGGAGCTCTACAACTTCATCTGGGTGCACGACCAGTGGGCATTCGGCGACCTGGGCTGCCGCGGCTACTACTACCTGCGCGACAGCTGCACCTACGCCACGGTGCTTAACATCACGAGCCTCAGCGTGGAGCGATACCTGGCCGTGTGCCACCCGCTGCGCGCGATGACCGTGGCGTCGCCCAGGAGGACGCGTCGGCTCGTGGCCGCGGTTTGGTTCACCTCGTTCCTGCTGGCGCTGCCCATGGCGCTGGTGATGGGTCAGCAGGTGTACGTGGAGAGGAGGCACGGGTTTGTCGACGAGCACGTGGCTGCCATCCACGTGTGTACCTGCGTCAGCTCCATCGACACCCTCAAGGTGGTCATACAGGTGAGGTGGAGCACGCCGGCGTCGTTTTGGGCTTGAGACGTAGAGGGGCGTGAGAAGTAAAGCGGAAGGAACTTGACGGCAAGGTGATAAGCGCGGCGGAGCTGGGGAGAGGGGGAAACGCGCGGTAGTTTATCAAGGTTAATGCGCGACTCGTAGGACAAGACACGATTTTTTATTTCATTGAGTTCGCCTTTATTTTGTTAGACCAGGAGAGAACTCTAGGGAGCAGGATAGTCTCATTTGCAAGTTACTTGGGACATTGGTCTGCCAGTAGAGGGAGGAGTGGGGTGGGGGGAGTTATAATTAATTGTTGCTTTGAATAGTCCTAAATAAGTAATTGGCGGTGGGATTTTCTAATTTAACAAAATTAAGGCCCAGACGCCGGCACAGAATGGCATTGAGTTATCGTGTTAATGACGTCGGGGGATGTTTAACGTCCACTGTAAAGCAGACGGCGCGTATAATTATTACTATTTTTGTAAGTTATTACATCCGCAGTAATGATCGGGGCGTCCGCTGCATTCGAACCGTGAACATCTGAAATAAGGGGCGAACGCGTAACCCGCTCGGCCACGTCATCGTCCAAGAGCAGCAGCAGCCTTGGTTAATCCACTGCTGGATGACGAAAGCCCCAATCTGCGACGCAACAACAATAATAATTTCCACCACGCAGCTGCACGCGGAGCTGATCTTCACTGCATCAGCCCTCCCAGTGGCTGCCGCTCCGGTCATTTAACCTTGACCACGAGTCGTGATTTTGTCCGATCGTGCCCATGCTCAAGCCCACTTTTTTATTTTCTCAATTTATATGACGCCGTTGGCCCGCGCGTATTCTCGCAAATCATCTGATCGGCTGTCTGTCTGCCTGTCTGTCTGCCTGTCTCCAAGCGATGCGTCTCTCGATGTTTCTTTGCGCACTTTTCAGTTTTGGCTTAAAGACAACGCACGTTCATCATGTTGATGTATATAGAGCGTCTAAATGCAACAACCGTATCTCAAGGCCATATACAAAATAGTGGGGAATGCACATCACGGGGACAAATAGACATACAGTACTTTGTTTGTTTGTTTAGGGAAGAGACAGACGTAGGCACCGGAGAAGAGGAAGGCCTTGGGTTGGACTTAAACGTGCGCAAGGTAGTCGAGAGCACGGATGGATCTGGGATCGGGAAGGGCGATTTTAACCCATACTCAGAGGAAAGCGTGAGATGAGAGGGGAGAGATCATGGGCATAGAGTAGAGTGAAATTGGAGGCGAGATAGGAGGGTGCTTGGTGGGGGAGTGGAGTGATGTGAGAGGGGAGAGATGCGAGAGAGCCATAAGGAGGGGATCGGGGGGGTTGTTAGAGGGAGATGAGATGGGAGAGAGAGAGAGGAAAAAGCGTGGGGGTGGAGCAGAGTGAGATGAGAGTGGAGATGGAGGCGGTTGCGATCCCGTGCAGGACCTTTAAGACGGTGAGAGCGATTTTCAAAATAGCCAGGAAGTTGGATTGGGAGCTGGTGGAGAGTTTGAGGTACAGTATTAGGGTGATGGAGTCTCGTTTACACGATGTGGGTGAGAAGTCTGGCAGCGGTATTTTAATGGATTTGGGAATTTGGAGAGAATGTATAAGCCAAGGTGGATTTGGCGAAACAAACCATTACCTGGTTTTCACCTGATTATAAATAAAGGGTTTTCAAGGAACTGTAGACCTACCCATAATTTGTACTATCTTTATTTTTTTTAACCTTTAGCTTTGGTAACGTTACACTTTGCGTGCACGAGTAACTAGTGCGTTTGTGAATCTATGCGTGTTATTACATTGTGGGGAGCGGTAGTATAGTGGCTAATGGACAGCGCTACGAACCGGGTTTCGACTCCCTGTCACAGCGGACATCTGTGGAAAATATCTGAACCGATCCTGGGCCGAAGGTCGACTCAGCCTAAACTGAGTAACTGGTGCGGTGTGTACAGTAAATATTAGGACTGGGGGGAGACAAAGGCGGTCGGGCGTGGTGGTGGCCACTCACCGCCTCGTGTGCCGTGCCGGCCTTCATATGTGCTCTCTTAACAGCACTTGCCCCAACAGTCTGGTAAAGGATATACGGGAGATCTTGTGTATTTATATTATGTAAGCTCCATCACCCACGCATGAATTGCGTGTAATAATAATACCCCTGAATGAGGCACGATATTAAACGAGATTACAATCGGGGGAAACTTTTACGCATGAAGAGTTGCCGTATATTTCCTCCAGCGTGTCACTCAGTGTCGACGATATACACGTATGATCGATGTACGTATGTTGAACTTCATTCGCACCGTACGTAGCCAACCGTGCTCATCTAACTCGGCATGAATGATTTGCGCCTTTGTTCATGTTGGCCGTCACTGAATGACATTTCAGCGGATTGGCGGTCACAAAATGACCCTCGTGAACCCGTGCTGGTGTGAGCTCCGTGGAGGCTAGGGTGACAGCAGTGTGTGACCACCACCACCACCACCACGCACCCCACCTCTTTGCCATCGGTCCGGTCTTGCAGTCTGACTCGTGTTCTGTGCTACTCATATAACGAGACAGGCTTCAAGTGAGGACCGAGGCCTGGGTAGATCTAAGCGAGGACAGCCGGGAGTTCATCCCGTCGATAATACGCGCGCTGACAAGCTTCAGTGACCATTGCCCCTTCAGCTTAGCTTGTCCATTTCCCAAACGTGACGTTACAAATCCGTGGCGGTGCTATTGCAAGAATGATGCTCAAGGCGGAGAGTAATTTCAAGTGAATCGTATTCTTTGGGTCTTTCGGTAAAGTCACGTAGATAGGTTCAAAGAAAATAACAAAAAAACTACGACGTTTCGATCGCAACACAAGCGTCGTGGTTATTTTTGTTGTTATTTTATTTGAAGCTATCTACGTGACTTTACCGAAAGAACCAACAATATTAATTCCTGCAGTCACGAAAGCTTTAAGTCAAGATTGAAATGAATCGTCTTAATAGCGGCTTTGCATGTAGAGAATGTTAACGGAAACCACAGCGTATAGCATTGCCTATAGAGGGTAATGCAAACTAATTAATGCGGTGTTAATGTCGTCGCGTGCACTTTGTATGAATGTTGCTCGGTGTAAATAATCACGTGTCGACTGTTTATTTAAATTAGCGGTCGCGAGAAAACAGACGCGGGGAGGGTTGAAAGAGAGAAATAATATACAAAAATATCAAAAAAGCGCCTCGGTTAGATGGAGCGAGCCAAGGGAGATGGCAGCAGGACGCGTCTGCTGACAGGCAAGGCTCCTTCAAGTCCTCGGAAATTGCCTTTCCACACTGAAGCCGTTACAGAAAAAAAAAAATGGGACACACACACACGTGCGCGCAAGCCACCCCCATACACACGCACAGAGGCGAGATTAAATGATAGCAAAGCAACCGTACATAATACATTTTCAGGGCCAGTCGATCAATGCTAAAAAATCAACTCTTGCTGCTCAGCGCACGGCATTATTTAGCTCGCAAAAAGCGAGCTAAATAATCGCGCGTCAACGCGTGGTGACTATTTGTTTACCGTTAACGCAAACTTCATTACGATCGGCAAACACGAACCTTTGCCTGGACCCGGAAAGGAGCATTATGAAGCATGCGCCCCTAGCTCTATGAAACGCGAATCCTATTGTTTCCCCTACCCCCCATTTTATATATTTTTTAAAAACCCAGTATTTAAAGGGAAAACAAACGCGCCGCTATTGTTACGCGAATGTGGCCAAAATCAGCGGTCGTGATTACTGGGTGGGGGGGGGCTTTGTTTGAACTGCGGTCGGCGTGTGGTGCGTACGTGTGGAGGAGCGCTCGCCGTTCCGTGCCACGTGTACACATACACACAAAGATCAAAGATCCCCCATATAGCCTTAACAGACTGTAGGGGCAAGTGCTGTTAGCGAGCACCTATGAAGGCCGGAACGGTACACGAGGGGGTGGGTGGCCAGCACCACGCCCGACCGCCTTTGTCTCCCTAGTGGCAATGTTTACACACCGCACCAGGTACTAATTTGAGGCTGAGTCGACCTAGGGGAGGCCCGGGACAGGTTCAGATAATCGTCACTGGTGTTGGCCGTGAGCGGGAATCGAAGCCGGGTCGTCAGGTTCATAGCGCAGCGCGCTAACCGCTACACACACACATACACACACATAAACACACACATAAACACAACACATACACAACAACAACCGCCATTCGCCACTAAGTGGCGGTGACGTCATCACGACGCTTGTGCCAGGCCATGTGCACCTTGAGGCCACGTCGAACGCCCGCGGGCAGGAGGTCACGGGGCAGACCCAGGTGCCACGGGTCGACTGACTGAGATGACTGGCTGGTGCACCACCTGTGCCCCCTACTGTGCCAACCTGCTGTGCTTTAGCCACCCGGCACTCTGCTCGTTGTTGTGAGCGTCGCTCCTCCGTTCTCCGTTGTTGTTGGAGGGCGACTGCCTCCAACTGCCCAGTAGCGTCCTTCACGAGCCTCCTCCACAGAGGCCGATCTTGACACCGCTGGTACCAGTCATCGGCAAGTCCACTCAGCTCCACGTCCTCCTGTACCACATCACTCCATCTCTTCTCTAGCCCGTGCCGCGCCCGTTTAGCCCCCTCGATCCGGCCGAACAAAAGCTGTTTCGGCATGCGGTGGCTGGGCATGCGAGCTACATGACCCAGCCAACGCAGCCTTGCCTGCCGGAGGAGCTCGCCGATGGGACCTTGCCCAGATCTTTCAAAGATTTGTGAGCTCCTCACACAATCCAGCCTGGTTAAACCCAGGATGGATCGGAGGCAGGCTAGCCTAAATGTTTCTAACCGGCGAAGATGTTCCATTAGGGGGGTTCACGTTTCGCAAGCGTAGAGAAGGGAGGGAATGACCGTGGCCGAGAAGACCTGAAGCTTAGTGCGGAGCGACAGACCAGGTAGCTTCCACACAGCGTTACGCAATCGATGAAAAGATATTGCCACTCGACTGATTCGGAGTGAGACCTCTGCTGTTAAACTGGGGCCGGTCATAAGCACACTGCCCAGGTATGGAAAACTCTCCACTCTCTCCACAACTGCCCCATCACCGATTGGGAGTTGTGGGGGTGGAGTGTCCGATGGTACAAAATACCCAGGCAGGTGCTTAGTTTTGGTGGGGCTGATGGTAAGGCCCCATCTCTTCGTGGCACGCTCCAGTCTCAGCAGCGTCTCCAACTCCTCCTCTGAATGAGCAGCTATTATCAAATCATCGGCATACATAACGTGGTTGAGCAATAGGGAGCCATCCCTTGACCGCACCAGGGCATCGATCAGCCTCCCATTATATCTGTACCATATGGAGAATTCCCCGGTACAGCTATTGAAGGCTTCACTAACTACGTGGTCAAAATAGATGTTAAATAATGTGGGAGCCAGAGGACATCCCTGTCGCACCCCAAGGTGTACAGGGAATGGCTCTGACTCCCGGCCACGTAGTTTTACCCGGGCCCGCTCACCATCATGAAGGTCCTTAATGATCGTGAGCAGAGGGTCAGGTACTCCAAAAGCACGAAGAACACATACACATACACACACACACACATACACACACGTACACACATACACACACACATACACACACACGTGGGGAGGGAAGAGGCAGTCTCGATCACCTTTGCCTTTCATTTCCCGAGCGCATTCGCGAGGCACGGCCGCTTTGTTTCACTTCATTAGTAAACGTGTTACAACGTCGCCTTTCATCGAGGCGACATAATGCTCGCTTCTAAAAGTGGTCTCGCTGTAAATTAACATTTGTGCGCCGATGCACCCGATATGTAAAACAACGGTGGGGGGGGTGTGTGGGTGTGGGGGGGTGTGGGGGGGGGAGTCCCCACGTCCTTCCATCCGGACACCCTCCACCAGATCCAACCAAGCAAGCTACAGCCACCAAACTGCAATTAACTGACTGCCATTCGCTTCCATGATTTGTCATAACCTGCACAAAATAATTCAAAGTGCATATTTTAATCCATTTGTTTTTTTTTGTGTTGCGAGGTTATGACATGTAATTATATTCATCCAAATGGCCACGGACACGTTTCGAGACATTTAGTGTGTGCTCAGTTTTTCTGCATTTCCCACATAGTTCTGGAGCATTTAAATAGCAACAGTGTGACAGCTGAGTTTAATAACCTTTTGTACGAGTCATTGGGGGTATAACAAAAACAATGAATACATAATATAGGTTTTTTTTTCGGGTTAGATCGCGTAAATGTAAATGTGTCGTTCAACCCGCCAACACCAGACAGAGCCAATTAGTGAGGTTTGTCACGCAAACAAAACGTGCCAATTCGTTATTAGTTCAGCACACCGGTGTGTCGGAGAGTAAACGCACGACATTGACAATTCGAGTAGGACGTTTCGCCGGTAATTACAAACACGTTTTGTTTAAGTGACAAACCTTACTAATTGGCTGTGGCGGGTGGTGGCGGGTTTAACGACACATTTTAATTGATGCAATCTAACACCCCCAAAAACCTCCTCTATTTCGAATAATATTGGTCGCGAAAGCCGACTGCGTACTCTTTGTTTTTTTCGGTAAAGTCACGTAGGTAAAAAAGAATTTTAATTTTTTTGAAAATTTTTACCTACGTGACTTTACCGAAAGAACCAAAGAGTATGGATCCTTGCAGTCACGAAAACTTCAAATCTAGAATTAGCCTACTGCGTGTACCCCGGCTCTCGCACAATGTCCGTGATGCAGTCATTTTTAGTCTGTTGATGGTCGGCGATGCGGCAATCGATTCATCTCGACTAGCTGTACACGATGCACCACCACGGTGCGTACGAGCGTTCAGGGTTTCAGCGCGATCGCCCTCGCTGCGTTTCGACATCGCGGAGTAGCACCACCGATTTCGGATCGATCGGTAACCCCAGTCGCGGAGTTAAGTAACACCCCTGGAAAAAAAGTGTCCCAGAAATAACATATTGAATTTGCCTCGGCCATTCTGTATTATTTGGTACCTCGGGGTACCGCCACGAGGATCATTTGCTCCACCTTCGTTTCCCTCAACCATTCAGCAGCTCCCTCCATTATCTGAAGCTTTGGAGGCTCTGGGAGCAAATTGCAACGTGATCTCTCTCTAGTCACGACTTCTGCACACACAGCTTCGATTATACTACTGGTAGGAACCTCCTGGTTACACCAGCCAACAGGGGATTATACTACTGGTTGGAACCTCCTGGTTACACCAGCTCACAGGGGATTATACTACTGGTAGGAACCTCCTGGTTACACCAGCCCACAGGGGATTATACTACTGGTAGGAACCTCCTGGTTACACCAGCCCACAGAGGATTATACTACTGGTAGGAACCTCCTGGTTACACCAGCCCACAGGGGATTATACTACTGGTAGGAACCTCCTGGTTACACCAGCCCACAGGGGATTATACTACTGGTAGGAACCTCCTGGTTACACCAGCCCACAGGGGATTATACTACTGGTAGGAACCTCCTGGTTACACCAGCCCACAGGGGATTATACTACTGGTAGGAACCTCCTGGTTACACCAGCCCACAGGGGATTATACTCCTGGTAGGAACCTCCTGGTTACACCAGCCCACAGGGGATTATACTACTGGTAGGAACCTCCTGGTTACACCAGCCCACAGGGGATTATACTACTGGTAGGAACCTCCTGGTTACACCAGCCCACAGGGGATTATACTACTGGTAGGAACCTCCTGGTTACACCAGCCCACAGGGGATTATACTACTGGTAGGAACCTCCTGGTTACACCAGCCCACAGGGGATGATTGTGTCCGTCCGTCGTGCATCCAAAAATGGGAGGGGTGGGGCTGGGTGGGGAGGGGAGGGTGGGGAGGGGCTGGGTGGGGAGGGTGGGGAGGGGCTGGGTGGGGAGGGAGGGCCTGGGTGGGGAGGGGCTGGGTGAGGAAGGTGGGGCTCGGTGGGGGGTGGGAGGGATGGGGCTGGGTGGGGAGGGGCTGGTCACCCCGTGGTGCCCTTATAAAACTCAACGTTTCACCTACTCACGCCGGCTTGTGCCCGCCCTCACAATCGGGCATATTTGCGGAATACACCACGTGGTGCCGCCGTTGACCCTGGCCATTGACCCAACGTTCCTACCAGCTCCCTCCGCAGGAATGTGATTGAGAGTGTCAAGCCCTGCCAGCGAAACTTCCACTTGTCACGTTATCCAGTATTTACTATTTTTATTTCACCAGGTGAGGCCCACTGAACTATATAGCTCTTTTTGAGAAGCGACCTGGCTATCACAAACTATACCCCAATGAAGTGGCTCATCATGTGGACATTGATAGCAGTAGAACACTCTAAAGGCATGTTTCTACTTGGGGAGGGAAACCCAGAGGACCCGAAGAAAAATCAACACGACCACATGTAGAACATGCAGACTCAAAATATACGGCTTTCAGGGTCGGGATCGAACCCACGACCTCCTGTATACCAGGCAAGGTAGTTAACATCTCGCCACCGTGGCACCACTCTCACCACCGTCCCAAAAATAAACACGTGATTTGCTCTGCTCACTCTTTACTTAAAAAAAACCCATCTCTTCACGTGAAACTCCTGAAGGATTCGGATATCCGCTATCTTCACCATCCATGGAATTTTCATTAGCCTACAGCACAACTACAATGCTGCTAATATGATTCTCTTCTCATCTTCACCTCTCCAAAAGTCTAGCTCTGGCCTCAGGCAATGAGCACATATATACATGAATGTATATGTGTATGTATATATATGTAGGCTATGTCAATTATGAGCATGAATGTATATATGAATGTATATGGCACGTAATAAATACTATTCCCATCTCCCTATGTGTAGGGGCCATAACAACATATTGTAATAATAACATGAAATGTTAGTGTGCTTCTAGAACCTGGATTAGATTAGGCTTCCTCTAATGAATAAAATTTTGACAGTCCATGAAATTGGAAATGATGCACACCTCATGCTAATTGAAATCTGTATACATTAACGTTAATATGGCTTGTTTTCTCACTTTGAATTTGTGCGCTGGAAACCCATCACAGTACTCAGCCGATGTCCTTTCTGCTCATTAATGCTCACGGGAAAGCGAGGGAACCTTAATCAGAAGCACTTCCATAGATGCAATTGAAAGGCCAATAACATATCAGGAATATACAGGCGATGCCACTCATGAGCATGGAGTCTGGCTGCTTATTCAAGGTGCTGCCTCCCTTGGCTCCCTGCACGACTTTCCCATTCCACATCGCATAGCCCACGTCCAAATCACCCTGGATGTCCCCTATCCCGTCTGATCTATGGAGGGCTGAGTCTGGTTTGTCTCTTGAGTGAGTGATCAAAAATAATCACCAGGTGCTGTATAGGCATAAGGCTGCGGGCTACGATGTGGGCAGAAATATAAATGCATAAAAGGGCTCGGTCCACATATAGATTACATTTATGGCAGCTGTCTTCAAATTAAATCTACACGTGCAGCCCTTTGAGAGTTACCCTATCTTATGCATGTCGTTTTTCCGGGTACTCCGGTTTCCTCCCACATAACAAAATACTTTCATTGCATTGGTTAAATATTCCAATACAGGGCACTCCTGAAAAAAAAAGATATTAAGTCTTAAAACTCATCGAAACTTTTTTTTATAGTTTACCTTAATGTTTCTGAACATTCGTAACCGTCTGCCCCAACAGTTGATTTACAAGCACACGTCTCTCTTCGCCATGTGCATTCTGACAGTGCAATTCGCGTGCACGCATGTGTGCACATTATCTCTGCAGGTGAACGTTTTCCTGGCATTTGTGTTCCCCATGCTGGCCATCTCAGCGCTCAACTCGGCCATCGTCAGGCAGCTGATGCGCCTGGTGGACAAGCCGGCGCCGGAGCCCGAAATTGGCCAGGAGCAGGGCTGCGTGGCACGTTCGCGTGGAGGCCAAGGCGGGGGCCTGCAAGCGTGTCGCCACACCACGGCCTTGAATCTCGGCAGGCGCCTCTGTCCCAACGGCAGAGTGGAGGCTGCCAGAGTTCACGCCCTGCGCAACAGCGTGAAAGTACTGCGTGCGTCTCGCAAGGCACTTGCTCCAAACCCTGTCGTGCATCTCCTCACGTAGCTCTCCGGAGAGGCCCTCGGGTTGCACCACCGATTGTGTTGTTTGCCAACGACGTCCGATATTTCGCTTCAAGTCCTGCGGCGCTTATTCGGGAACTGAATTGTTTGGCACGTGCTGGGTGGTAGCTTCTTTCAATTGAATTCCTTAAGAAGCTCCTGGCGAATGGAGTCAAACATGAGACAGTGGCGGCTGATCTGTACGGGGCATTGGGGCATTGACCCACGTAATAAAAATGCTTTAAAAAACTGCATTTCTTAAGTATAAAAACAAATCATGGCCCTTCTTCATAGCACATCAATGGGATGGCGCTTCGGGATCTACGGATGAAAATGTGCCTTTCAAATGTAAAATTATGATTATTGCCCAAAATTTCGTCTATTATATATTTGTCTTGTTATTGACGAATATCTAGATTTGAAGCTTTCGTGACTGCGGGAATCCATACTCTCTGGTTCTTTCAGTAAAGTCACGTAGGTATAAAATACAAATAAATCACAACGTTTCGATTGCAACACAAGCAATCATCATCAGGTGGGAAACCCACAGCAATAATTTTTTTATACCTACGTGACTTTACCGAAAGAACCAGAGAGTATTGACGAATATATTGCGTTTTTTTTAATATGTGCTTGTGTACCACTGCCATTGCAGGATCTCCTCCAACACTTGCCCATAGCCACACACAGGAGCAATCTCCTAGGGGCAAACTCAGGGTCTCTCCAACCAATTTAAAGCCGTCTCCCTCCCTCTCCCATACATTTTATGAATGCAAGAACATGCGGGAACCTTCAAACTGCACAGTGTTCATCAACAACAATCCCTCTTTACCACTCAGTGGCGGTGATGTCAACACAGCGCTAATGCCATACTAGATGCATGTTGAGGCCACGTGAAGTGTTGAAGGCTCACTGGCAGGTCATAGAACAGACCCAGGTGCCATGGGTTAACTGACTGACATGACTGGCAGATACACCAACTGTCCTGCCCACTGTGCCAACTTGTTGCGTTTTTGCAACCCGGCGCTCCGCTCGTTGTTGTGAGCGTCGCTCCTCCGCCCTCCGTTGTTCCTGGAGGGCGATTGCCTCCAACTGCCCAGTAGCGTCCTTCACGAGCCTCCCCCACAGAGGCCAATCTTGACATCGCTGGTGACAGCCTTAGGCAAGTCCACTCAGCTCCTTATCCTTCTGTACCAGTCCATCTAACCCATTCCGTGCCAATTTAGCCCGACTATTCAGCCAAACAGAAGCTGATGGGCATGCCGTTGCCTCGCTTGCCAGAATAGCTCACAGATTTTTTACGGATCTGTGAGCTCCTCACACAATCCAGTCTGGTTAAACCCAGAATGGATGGTAGGCAGGCAAAACCTGAATGTTTAAAACCAGTGCAGATGTTCATTTTGAGGGCTCCACGTTTCGCCATCATAAAAAGGGAGGATATGACTGACCAAGAAGACCCAGAGCTTCGTATGGAGTGATAGATCAGGTAGTTTCCACACAGCGTTATTCAGCTGATGAAAAGATTCATAGTTTCATAGTTTCATTTATTTGGTATAGCCCTGTGAGCCATTCGGCTCTTGAATCGGGTGCAACCGCAACAAACAAAAAAACAAAAACATGAACAAGAAAACATCTTAAAGTGACTTTGTGCATGTGCAAACAGAAAATCCAGGAAAAAAAACATCTAAATATTCCTGAAATAGCACCGTACACCAACGCTGTGTGCAAAAATCCCAGTGGTATGCAAGTCAAACAACAACAACAACAACAAGAAAACTTAGATTAAGGCCATCAGTCTAACTCCGTACTACAAAAAAACTAAAACATGGCCAAAACCAAAAAAGTTTTAGAAATCACCAAAATAAAGCCATAAATGCAATGTAACAGTGATCATATGAACTGTGACCGAATTTTTAACAATAAGCTACATAAATAACATGTAACACCAAACCCTAGAGCCATAGCTGGCTGCATGAGTTACTCCACAAACAACAGGAGCATCAGTCGGAGTATCACATTTTTCAATGCACCTTTAAGATCAGCACACTAAATCAAAATACAGATAATACTTTGCAGCGGTCATCCGGAGCAAAACATTTTATTTTATTTTAGGCCACTGAATAGCAGTGGCAGCTAGGGGTGTACAACTCCTCTAGAGCAGTTTTGAGTGAAGATCTCATAGGTAGTGATTCAAGTTGCAGTTTATTGGCAATAGCATTCCAGACCCTGGGGGCATCAATAGCAAAGGCCCTTCCTCCGGTTTTTGTACGGCAATAGGGAATGTGAAGCTGGTAGATGAGCGAAGACCTGAGGTCAAATTTGTTCTTTGAAACAGAGAGGAGATCCAGCAGGTAGTTTGCAGATTTTTTTGTAAGTACATCGTGAATAAATAAGATCTGGTGTACAAGCCGTCGAACATTAAGAGATGTTAAGTTTGACCCAATGTATAGATCACAGTGGTGAATCCTATATGGGCAGTTCAATGCAAATCTTAAGGCCGAGTGAAAGATGGAATCAAGCTTCTTCAGTACAGTACTTGGGGCTGATTTATACACGATGTCACAGTAATCAAGTAGAGGCAGTATGGTAGCTTTTATCAATTCCAAACGGAACATAGGGGGGAAGCAGTGCTTGTGTCGATACAGAAAACCAATTTTTATTTTTGTCTTTTTACCAATATAATCAATGTGATCTTCAAAATTCAGTTTTGAATCCAGGATGACCCCAAGATACTTATAGATCTTGACTTGCTCTATTTGATAATTATTTAAGGAATGTAATTTGGGAAAAATAACTTCCTGCTTTAGTCCCGGTGAGAAGCATAGCACCTTGGTTTTGGAGGTATTTAGGACTAGTTTAAGGGCAACTAGCTGACGTTGTAGTTTGTTGAAATCACCCTGGAGCTTAGCAATTACGTCATCCGGAGAGCGGCCAGCAGTAATCAGTATTGTGTCATCTGCAAAAAGATTTACCCTGGAATAATCCAGGTTAGTGCCCAAGTCATTGACATAAAGAGAGAACAAGAGGGGGCCGAGGATGGAACCCTGTGGAACCCCTTTTGTTATATTAACACTGTTTGACTTCCAACCATCTGTGAATACAGTTTGGGTGCGAGAAAAGAGGTAAAGCATTTTTACCATTTTACTGTGTTTTTGGAAAAACCGAGGCAACTTAGTTTACCAAGCAGGGTGTTGTGGTCTACTGCATCAAAAGCTTTGGACAGGTCAAGAAAAAGACAGGCACAGTACTGCTTATTATCAAGGCTACTGTAAATTTGATTCAGAGAGTCTAATGCAGCAGGTGTGGTGCTGCATTTTTTTCGGAACCCAGATTGTTTTAGATGTAGAAAATGCAGTAAAGAAAATGCTTCTCGACTAATTCGGAGTGAGACCACTGCCTTGGTACACGAACTTCTCCACTCTCTCCACAACTGCCCAACACTCATGGGGAGTGGGGAGAGGAGAGCATTCGACATAAAATACCCAGACAGGTGCTTTGTTTTTGTGTGGCTGATAGTTAGGCTCCATCTCTTAGTAGCATGCTCCACGTACAACAGTAGCATTTCCAACTCGTCAAAGTTGGCAGAAATCACCAGATCATTTGCATACATAACGTGGTTGACCAATAGGGAGCCTCACATTATGTCGGTACCAGATGGGAATTCCACCAGTACATTCATGGAAAGCAGCGTCGAACTATGTGGTTAAAGAAGATGTTGAATAGCATAGGGGCGAGAGGACATCCCAGTCGCACCCTTAGGCACTCGTCAATGACACACAAAGATTCCACGAACACCCATGAAAGCCGGAACGGCACATTAGGGCGGTGTTTGTGATCAGCACCACGCCGCCTTTGTCTCCCACGTGGCGACATTTGCACGTCGCATCAGGTGCTCATTTCAGCACCTGACCTCTGTTAGGTCGAGTCACACACACACACACCGGCACTCACACATACAAGGCTCGATGTGTTTGTATGAGACATGGAGATAATCAGCCATGATTAATCCACTGCTGGATGAAGGCCTCCTCTTTTCACAATCCTGCGATATAATAATCAAACAAACACCAGCGCTCCATCTCTTACGTTATTGTCCTCTTAGACGCATTCCATGCTGGCATTCTGTTATTGTATTTGACCATAGATGATTACCCCAAGCCACGTGCCTAACACACGGATTAAACACTGGCTTCTTTAGGCACATTGGTGTACATTACATTCTCAAGTTCAGCTGTCCCAAGGCACTCCGAACAGCTCTCGTTCAACTCTTTATTTCATCGTTTTGATTTCAGTCGGCCTTCAATAGCTATCCCAGGTACACACAGCACACATACTTTGCTGTGTCCTCGAGTTGTTAACAAAAAATACGAGTAATTAACAGGCTTTCGTCAGTCCACTGCTGGTGTCGGAGGGGGGGGGGGGGGGTGCGTGACCATAATCCAATGCGGCTGGCCAGTGTGCGTTGGTGAAGGGGTGGGGGGGGGGGGGTGGTGGCGTTCAGAACCAGTTCGGAAATATTTCTCGCAACCCCCCCCCACCTGCCACTGATTTGAGCCATCGCCGGTCTAGACATGGTGCTGACAATTTGAGAGCTCGACAGCACAATCGTGACAAACCCACCCGTGTCTACCCGCTCCCACGTGCGTTCTGCAGTGTTAGCGTCAGTGCGAAGGTACATTTTGATGGTGATGATAGTGTGTGGCACGGTAGGGCATGCTGCATTCCCACATCGGCTGAATTGAAATTGTCAGTCGGGTAATCGAGCAATCATTCCTTCCTTGACTATTGTTGAGAATTATTAGTTTATTGTTTTTGTGTGTGTGTTACGCGGTTGCTGAGCACAGGCCTAAAGGCAGAGACGGGTTCAGTGTACGATAATGGCCAGCAAAAATTGAATGCACGGATTGCCCTACTAGAAGGCATTGTAATGTTTCTCAACTGTTTACTAAAT